CCATTTTGTCCCAGACACAGACTCCCAATGGTTTCTTGTACCATCTGTATTTCACATCTGAAGGTTTCTGTTAAAGTTATCGAATTCTGACCATGAATCATTTCTCTAACTCCCCACATTATATTCTGTCATCGACCTGTCAGCTAGGCCGTATATCTCCCCCTCCATCTGATCTTCTTACTGGAGGGGCATTATTCCGGTTGTCTCACCTCTCTGAAAAAGTCAACGTCAAGAGAAGAGTCAGATGGAGGTGATTATGAAATCCAAACTCTTGTCAAACCCCCATTGTATCCTAAATGATTATTGTCCTTAAACACGCAAGGTAAACATGAATAATGATTTATTATATTTTATAACCTGGCCCTTTACGTTTTGTTGTAACAGATACGTGTTCTCTTTACCATGAATATGTATACTCCTATTATACTATTCACTTGTTGACTGAAGTTTTAAGTTACGAAATGAAGTTTAATTGTGTCGTTTATTTTGGGTTCAAGAATGTACATTACATGCAGTGATCAAGTTGATGCCTATTTTTATGCAAATTTTTCTTTACAGACTTAATCTGGGATAATGAAGCTGGGTTTTCACCTTACACATTGCCTTTTTGAACCCTTAGGATCTTAGAACTTCTATAATGACCAGTAAGAAACAAAAGCGTAAATTAATTGTAAGTAAGTTAAAAAAAATATCGAAATTATTGAAACAGTGTCATACAGGATTAAGAGGTTTAAAAAATCCTAATTTTTCCTGTTTTAATTAAAATACTTATGAAAGAGCTTAATGGTTAATTTAAAAAAATCGAAATTATAGAAACAGTGTCATACACGATTAAGAGGTTAAAAAAATCCTAAATTTTCCAGTTTTAATTAAAATACTTATGAAAGAGCTTAATGGTTAATCAGCTATTTAGAATTGCTTTTGCATTGGTGTAACCTTTCAGTGCGGATAAATTAAGATTGAAAACTAAGCTGGAAATCACTGTAAGTTATTTTGCTCGAAAGATAAGAGCCTTTTCAAACCACTTGTAGATGTGTTCGGTAGACGCTAATTAAAAGTGCAAATTTGTGCACCAATCCTTGTAACTGATTTAAAAAAAAGGTATATACATCAGAGTAAGTATCGTCTAGTCTACAGGGAAATTCCAAGGCTTTTTGAGCTAAAGATACCTGAAAGAACTTAAGCCTACCCATTATCAATGCATCTTCTTGCAATTAGAAACATCGTTATGCAATAGTTTAATTAGAATATTTATGTGGGTTCTGAATCTGCTATCGACGTGATTCATTCATGTCCTCTTATTTTGCTGGTCGTGCTCAAAACTTCAAAATTTGAACTGTTTGGCCAATTTAGTTTTCTTTTGTTTATTCGGAAAAAGTATAGCAAATATCATCGAACAAAAACCTCTTTCATAAGGGTAGCAAAAAAAGATACCAATTACAAGCTATTTATTGACGCAAATGTATACCAAAGACCGTTTGTGCTTTGATAAGAAAGAAACTCGTTTATAATGATTCATAAAAGAGTTAACCATAGAGAACCTGTACGCCCTTGATTTCAATGTGGTTAGTTGAATAAATTCCTTTCTCTCTGTCTAATGCGCGATAATAAACCTCGGGATTAGCGATGTCTCATCTCTGCTTTTGAAATGATTCCATTTTACTAATGAAGGTCATCCCATGCTCGTTAGTCTGGCGAAAAAATGTTTCCAAGTGCAGTTTACATTAGCCTTTAGAGTTTAGTTTCTTGTGGATCAGATATCGACAAAATTTTGAAAACAGGTCTCCGATGACATCAACAGTAAAAAAACCAACACCCAAGGGTGATTTCTTCAATTCCTTTTGGAGTATCGTCTTTCTGAAAAAAATATACCCCATATTTCTTTTGAGGGTATGATTGTGATATCACCTGATATATTTGAAATCGAAGATGAAGTTAAATCTTTAATAACAGCTGACAGGTGCATATAAGCAGAGGACAGTCGCCCCATTTTGCTTCTTTCACAGACGTGTCAACTCGTTTAAACCACATCGGCTCACACGAAGATAATTTGTATAAATTTGCACCACAGTTCAAAAAATAATGAAATATGCTATTAAAGGATCTTGACAGACGTTATACAACATCAAATTTACTTAACTCGCATATAAAGTGAATATCAAATAAGTGTTTACATGCCAGGATTACATAATGCGAATTTCGGTTACTTGCCAATGCGACCTCCTTCTTTCTCGCGGAGCGTCTCGATGTTATCATGGTAACTCGATTCCGATCTATCACGGAAGATTGACACCTGTTGCAAAACTCGATGTTCCTTTATAAGCTTCATAGACTTTTGACGAACTCAATCTGATGAACATCTTTTTACATCAGAGGATACCAATACCGTTCTTTCGGAAAGCAATTTCTTGCTCGTCTAATTCTTGCTGGAATTGGCCATGTCAAAACGGGCAAATTTAATTATTCGAACGCACAATTCCTAAACATTTGCTTTAATGTCTATTTCAATAGCAAGTTCATTCAGTATCATTTAATTGGTTGTTTTACAGTGCGCCTTATGTCTATCTTCCGGCAACAGAGTTTACACAGTTTACAATGGATGAGATTACGAACACATTAAAAACCAAATTCTGAAACATTCTCTTTAGAGAGGTGGACAGGCTTTCGCCTATATCCACTTGTGTAGTAAAACAAGGCATCCTAACAACCAAATTTGTCTTAAGCTTATGAGAACTCGACACTCTTAATGAAGCATTTGGTCAATTACCTACATTACAACTAATTAAGAGTGTTTCGGCGGTACGTTATTTTAATAGCTTAGTAAAAGGCCCTCTTCGAAGAATGTAGACGAAAGCCTGTCCACCTCTCCAAACAGAATATTGATTGGTGCAATTTTACGAAGACAAATCGCCCTAGTTTAACTTTTGTCATTTAAAAAAGATGGTTTAAACTGTCTCGGTAACACTAGCTTGAATTTCAGAAATGCAACCCCGACGCAGAGAACCAAAGAAGTCGTCCCAGACGGTGATTAAAATACCGCTCTATACATTAAACAGAAATTAAAGCGTCAAATAAAACTTTCAATGCACATTTCTGTAATATTGAAATGTTATACAGAAGCTACCAACGACCCATTTTTTATAGCTCTAGTTTTGAAGTAAATATATGTTAAACTCTGAAAGTACATGTAGCCTGATTAAGATTTAAAAAAAAAAATCCTTTTTATGTTTTTTTGTTGTATAACAATTTTTTTTAAATCTAAAGTTGAAAATAATTTCAATCACACATGATATGAAATCATTTTCAACTTTTAAACGATATTTTGGTCAAGGTAGCATAGGTTTCATATGAGAGAGAGAGAGGGAGAGAGGGGGAGATTGACAAGATCCAGAGCGGGCGCGGATGCTATTGTGCGAGTACCTGTTATATAATATGCACATTTTTATAACAACCAGGAATAGGTTTATCGGTTCAGACAGCTGTGTAAGTGCTGTGGGGAAAATACTGAGACGATGACAAATCCATGATTTTTTGAAAGGGGGAGGATGTGAAGATATGAATTTATAAGCTTATATGTATTGTTGATGTATGCAAATGAATTTTCGCTAACAATTTCGTTTTTAAAGAAATAAAAGCCAAGATATTTCTCTATGATCAGCTTTCATACGGTTTTTCAATATATCATAAACCAGTAGTTAAGCATTATTATCAAAATTTTCATATTGGATTACTTTTCCATCGTTTTACATCCCACAGTAACTAGGTCAAAGTCACAAAGGGCACCGGATAAGAAGGGATATTGACCTAAAACAATATTTCTCACATATGGTAGTTTCCTGGTAGTCTTTCATTTATGAAATATTTTGTCGGTAAACAATTTCTAATTTAGCATGCGAATTACTTCATTAGTTATACATTAGCGAGCAGGAATGTAAAGTATGGTTTTGCAACTTAATATCATTATGCACATATTTTACGAGCTGTGATATCCTGACCCGTTGTTCTTAAAATTATTGTACATGTATATATCTTCGTTGATGTAGAAAAAAGTTATGCAACACCTGTACAGATCGCGAAGCCGGTGGTCATCAGACAATATCATTCCTAAAGAAACTCTGTAGTCTTTTACAAGTAAAATCCTCAGAAATATGCCAATATGGATATCCAAATAAAATAATCCGATACTTATTCAAGTTTGACTGCAGGGATTTGATGAATTCGTAGAAGAGATGGGGGAGGGGGGTCATTTCAGATTGTTTACAAAGGAGTACATTAACTTGGAGACTGAGTAGTAAGGGAAGACGATTTCTTTGAAAATATAAAATGCAATCATTATCATAATTTGTGCATTTTTAAAGTAAAGGTTTATTCAGTACACTTTGTCAGATATGTTGAATATTTGACCACAAGAGTATGGTACTCGATAGTTATGGGAAAGTGAGTCTGTGGTAAAAAAATGGCCTTGCGAAATATTGTGTGAAGTTAAAAACACGATTTCAATTTCCCTATCCCTCCTTAATGAATGTATTTTATATTGGTTTGTCAGCATGATGCGATATTTGAAGTGTTTTATCATTTTTGTCGATCTGTGGAATTTTGACGTAGGCTCGCCTTATCTTCAAACCAAATTATGAATGCAAAAAATCTACCAAGAAATAAAAGATGATTTATTGTAAAACATGAAATTTTAAGGAATCTTGTTAAAATGTGTTCGATGGCCTCCACCCTATTAACCCATGAACAAAGGCTGTATACAGGGTAATAACTACGATAGCTGGCGCACTGAAAAGCCTTTAAAAAAAAAATAAAAAAAAAAAAAAGAGTGTGTGCTGTTGATCCCTCCAGACTTCTCTAATTTGCATCCATAAAGTAATATCCATATATTACATAATATTAAAGCTGATATCTTATCTTACGTCTCAAGTAACAAAAAAATCTTCCAAACTAGTCATCAGACATCTATTACAAACGGAATTTTAAAAATATAGTTTGTATAACCTTGCAAGGTCCTGATTTGTCATTTCAACAAGAAAACTTTAATTGAATTTTTCTCTTTCAAAGTGAGTCTGTAATAACATTGGGTGACAAACAGTTTGTCATTCATGGGGCTAATGCACAGTTTCCATGGCCATTGCAGTCCGTCATGTACGACAGTCCCTACCAAATGACCATCTTTGCTAAGTTGCAGAATGCGCTGCTGGTCCCAGGACACAACCAAAATTTGGTCTTTGTAGAAGGCCACGCCCCTTGGCAGACGGAGCTCTTCGTGTGTAAAACTCCAGATCTTTTGACCATTTTTGTTCAGACAGAGCACAGGGCGATTTGGATACCCATTTTTGGTCACTACGATTCTTTCTCCTTCCTTGTCAACGGCAATATACATTAAATTGTCCACATCCAGTTTCTGCGAAAGAATTCTTATCCAGCGCGCGTTTTCTCTCTTGAAAACGTGCACTGTGCTACCGGAGCAGGTAGCAAGAATTCCGTTGTTGTAACTTGCAGCATTACATTTGTCTCTAACTGCAAGTGATTCCCCAGGGACCAATTTATTATTCTGGAGCTTTTCGTGCTTCAGTTGCATAGTATCGGGTAGGCAGACGACAACTTCGTCGTCTGCAATTGCAGTGACGTCACCGGGGGCTGTAGAGAATTTGATACAGCCAAGATAGTTGTAATGTGGATCAAACAACTTCAATGAACTGTGATAGGAGTCAGCGAGCACCACATGGCCTGATTTCAAAACTGTTGCTCCTTCAATTGAGCATTCATGCTGATCTTGAGTAGACGCGTCAAACGTGGATTTTAGTTTAGCTCTAATCAATTTTACATTGTTTGAAATATTTGTTGCAGATGGTCTAGATTGGGACAGATCTCTTGGAATTCTTGATGTGAGAACTTCTTTATTTGGTAGGATATCTTGTTTAAAGGTATCTGGTCTTTGTTGTATAGGTTGTAGCTTCGGCGTATTTGGAAGGGTTGAATAAGCTCGTGGTCGGAATGAGATAGGGCGTCTTTTGCTTCCCGGAAGTGACTGGGACTCACCAATAATTGTGGATGCCCCAGACATTGGTCGAAGTGGTGTAGTTCCTCGGTGTAAAGACGAAACAGACCTTGGTGTTTGTAATAAGTTTTGCCGACTCTCTGTGTACGATTTCGCGTAAGGCAAAGCATGTCGATTTGCTGTCCTTTCGACATGTAGTTTTCCCAGAGATTTAATTTGTCTTAAAGCCTGTTCTGTCACTTTGTTGGCGGTAAAAATGATTTTCACATTCTTCAGGTTCTGGCAGAAACTACCAATTGCCATTTGTCTTTGTTGGAACATCTCAGCTTGCTTCAAGTATGTCAGGACAAAATCTGTTGGTGATTCCTTTTGGACGGCGTCTTGAAAAGACTCATAGGCATTCCGTGTTTCTTCCAAAATATTTTCGCACGTCTGTACTTCAAGCTTTATAAATTCAATTTCTTTATTCTTCTTCTGTACAAGTTCACCAGCGACCTTATTTTCAAATGAATCCAAGATTTCAATGACTTTCTTTCTCAAGCTTGTTAAGTGGGATTTAATGTCCAACTCTGTCCGTTCTAAATATTCTATCTGCCCTTTTCTGTCTGTCAGAAGTTTCTCAGCGAGTGTGGATTGTTCCAGCAGGAAACTGCTCAGTTTTCCACTGTCTGCATGGCGTCTTTTGGCCGCCTCCTCTATTGGAATCACATCTTCACATTTCTTGTGGGTAATGGTCGCACACAATGAACAGATAGAGAGAAAGTGGTCTTCACAATAAAATTCTATTTCCTTATTTGGATGATATGTGCAGTTTTTTGACAAGGACTCGCTTTCAAACGCTTTCAGTATTTTAGATATTGTTGTATTTGTCTGCAGGTTGTCGGCCCATGATGAAGGGGACTGCGAACCACCAGGTGGCATTGGAGTCTCCTTCCGGCACACTGGACAACTGAAAGCCGCTGGATCGGATTGGTTCTTCGTCGTCTTAATGATGTGGTCTGCGATGCATTTTTTACAGAAAGAATGGAGACATGACAGAGTCTTGGGTTCTGTAAATGAATCTCCACAGACGGGACAGCGGATCTGTTCCTTGGCGACCTTCACAACTGCATTCATTGTGGTCTTAAACCTTTAAGTAGATAATTTTATCCCACTTACTTCATCATATTTATATGTGAACATGTATGGAGGAAAATACATATTTTTAAAGATGGTCTTTAGTTCTCAGTATTTTGTTAACCACCGCAAGGCAATTTTTAATGTATGATTGGTTTTCCGTAATGAATTTCAGATTCCATAATATAATATCCATTATTGTCTATAAAATAATTGGACATGAACAAATTAGATTAAAATAAAACTAGGTCATAGTTCGATCATATTTATTTTGAAAAAAAAAGTCGGTTAATTTATGATATATTGCAGATCATTGGTACTACTTTTTTTAGTCTTTGTGGATAACACTATACCATCCGTCTTTGGCTGTATCTTATAACATTAAGAACATGCAGAAAACCACACACTGATTACGGAAAACACCTTGACAAATGAAGCCTTAAGGACCACACACCTGCTGTGAACTCCGTGAAAATATATAATTATTTTTTAAAGGTAGTTTAGTTTGCTCTTGTAAACATATATTTTACATGTATATGTATATATAATGTATACAAATTTGTGGTTCGAGATGCGATAAAAGGATGCTATAGCTAACAATATATAAGCAGTAATTTTTCAACAGATGTCACGTTTTAAACATCTCGCTGTCGAGTAGCTTTGTGATTCTGTGTTCTACAGTGTCCTCAGTTGAAGTTAAATATTTTATAAAACATTTAGAATAGGATCTTTTTTTCTGAGACTTTGTAATGTAGTAATTTGCAAGGAATTAATTTATCGTTTATTTATTTTTATTATTCCGGATTTTCTTTTGAAAAGTCACACTGAAACCAATTCCTGACTACTTTGATTTGAGGATAACTTAATATTTTAAGTTTCTTCATTTATAGAATACCTTCTGTCGGTCTTCTTGAAATAACAATATGCTGGAAATTTTTGTCCACGACTTTTTCCCAGTGGAACTGTCGATAGAACTTGTAAAATTCATTTTAGGCTTTAAAAAAATATTTGGCTACCCAGGATGTAGACAAACTTAGCGAATAATTTGGGACTATATTTACAGTAGGGCAAAATATTCATCTTTTATCACACTACTCTGTTGATGATGCTCGGATAATCGTTTTTAAAGTTCATTAGATTTCGTATGTTTATGAAAGGTTTTTGGAAATGCTGTTAGAAAGAATAAAATAACAAGCGGAAGTTTGATATCCTTTGATATCATTTTAGGGTATTTTGGTTGTATGTTATACACAATTTTATTTAAAAAAAACGTACATGTATGTATTTTTCCAAATATTTACAATAGATATAATGAAAACCATATGTCAAATTAGAAAGGAATGGTAACTTTGAACTAACCTTGACCCGATTTAGAATTTTTTTTTTTTTACAAATATTATATACTCTGTATAACTGCATTCTGTCATTTTAAATACTTTAATACTTGAGAAGATTGAATCTTTGTCATTAAACTAGGCGGTTAGAAAGTGTTTTTTTAAAATTTGATTTCTGATTTATTTCGAATGCTCAAAAGATTCTTGTAAAATATTCTTTTGCTACATATTATGGGAAAATCACGGATTTTTACGATTTGATGTCCTTGCATTATCTATTAAAGTCTCAAGGTCATATAGAAAAATACTTAGGGGAAGCACATTCTTGTCTAGAAAAAAATGTCAAGACGACCATTATCGAAATTAATTCCAAGAAATGCTATTAAGAGACATTGTAGAAGTGTAACTTTTCAGCAAGGGCGGGGTTTTTCTGTCAGGAACCCCACACATGGATACTAGGCCTGGAGACATGCTCGTTTTTCACCCGAATTATGTCATTTGTCGCAAGCAAGGTGTGCAAGCCACTAAACGAATACATAAGTCAACATAAGATATATATGACATAATGTACTTGTACGTCTGGGAGACGGTTTGTGTAGCTTGAGAGGAGGCGATCAGGTCACGGTACCTGAAGCTGTATAATGCAGACTGTTGTGAAATTAATGGGACTTTTGGCAAAATACATTCATTTCCAGAGCGTTTTCCTCCCCTACAGTTAATACAACGTGAACAAGATGATCTTAGTGTCAAATAGTTGAAATTTTTTTTAATGTTCCGGGGAAGTTTAACTTAATTCATGTTTTGGTTGATTATCTCAAACTGAAGGTTTTATTGCTTAATCACAAGTGATAAGTGATGGTTTTATAGAGAACAAAATCTATGTGCTGACGTGGAACAAAAAAGAACCGACTACTTGGTAAACACACCCCTGTAGTAAACCATCCATACAACTTGGTTTTACAAAAAAAGGTGGGTGGGATAGTTATGATTCAAATTATTTTTTTATAGAGGCGGGTAGGGGTATTTTTGATTTTAATAAAATTTCCAAACTCTGAATTTAACCAAAAAAAAAAAAAAAAATGAAGAGATCTGGGATGGGATCCGGAATTTCAAAACCTATGGGACGACAGATTACACAATTTATTATATCACTGAAGATTTAGACAGAAAAGTGCAATCTCATTGGATTGATGGTTGTACATGCTGGGTTATTGGAATACTTTTACGCATTGGTAGTTCATTATGATCCATGATAAGCTCTTCCTTTTGAAGAACTTGTTATAACTTGTAGTTCACGCACATCAATGTGCATTGGAGAGGAAGGACGAACATAAAAGATGGAGGAAAAAGCCGAACATGCTTCAGACTTTCTGTCAGCCAAAGGCTTCAAAGAGACTTTTTTGTGGTTAATACATTTAAAAGCAAGAGGAATCACCTTCGTAAAAGGAGGTCTTACCAAGTCTCTGGTTACAGTGAAACAATTTCTTGCAAAACCACGCTATTAATCAAATCCCGTCCTTATTATTGCTTAATGCACTCTCTACGGAACTGGCAGACGGTTCGAGAACCACGTTAAAAATAAGTGATTATATAATTTCTATGAATTCGTAATTTTTTTAAAATTGCTAAGGACTTAAACTTTTATGTTTTAAAATAGCATATTGAACAAAAGAACAGTAAGAAATATTGAGTAATTAATGAAATAAAGTGCAAGGAGTTTAAAATATACTTACAAGACTTCTGTTTGTGTGGTTGCACTAGACAACTCCCAAATTGTTTTACTTTGTCGGTCTTTGTATACAAAATTAAAGTATCAAGTGGTCTTCTATTGTTTTCATTCATTTTTCCTTTGCAAATCAATTAGCGGTTCAATAGATTTATCTACCCATTAGGCTATGACGATTATTCTTCGATCACTAACCAAAGAGGGATAACTAGAGCTCAAATTCGTAAAAAAGGACCAATTGCAATTATTCAGTAATATTGAGGAAGAGCTGCAAATTACAGATCATCAGTGTATCAACAGTAAAATATCTCATCTTCCATGCATTCTTAACAACCTTGCAAGTAATGACACTTTGTATGTTCAAATATATTATGAGTTCACATTGCACATGAAAAGAAAACAGCCCAAGTCTGCATGTTGAGACAGGTTCCAATATGGCAGACGTTTAAAGGAAATGAAAATCCGGATACACAAATAAGGGAAGTGTAGAAAGGTTAGTGTTGCCCCACAGACAAATTATGCTGTTTGGTGATAGTACTGGGTTAAGAAAAGGGGGAGGGAAGGAGGAGACGAGAAATAGTTACATGACAACGACAGTAAACTACGTTGCTAAGAAAAATCTTAGGAATAATAATGATGTTTGGTTATTAATTCTTATTTGTTGTTCGTTGGTTGGTAGCAAAAAACTTTTCTTCGTAGTAGCAAAATAGAAGGTAAGATACTTATGTAATAGTTTATCGTGGAACTATAACTATTTGTTGTAGGCTATTCAAATAGTCGCCTTTCCCTTGAGTTTTATCTTTGATTACCTTGGATGCGGTGATTTTTCCCACATTATCTTTTTTTTAAAATAAAAATGCCAATGTTTGATAAAGACAGACATAAGGAAATGGAATGTTTAAAGCGGCTGTGTACAACATTGTGATTGTTTACTTCAAATATTGATTGATTGACAAAGAAAAACTTAATTATTCTGCACTAATGACAGGAAATCACAGGTTTCTGAGGACAAGCATCTCCTATTTCTGAAATATTTCCTCTTTGGGAATTGCCATCATTCATTATGACAAAATCGAACCCCCACACCCATTGATACATTTTGGTAAATATTGGTTGAATCTGGAAAATACTCGAAAATGGGGGGGGGGGGGAAGACAACAGAAAACGGGAAAACGAAACACACCACAGTGATTCTAATGATTTAATGAAATAAAATATTAATTAAAAATGGTTCTTTATCTCTTTCAGCACATTGAGTTACTTGAGGAGAAAAAAAAATGGCGGATTTAGTCCTTCAGACAACAACTGAACACATTACGTGTACAATTTGTCTGGAACTGTTCGAGGAACCCAAAGCACTTCCATGTCTTCACACCTTCTGCAAAAAATGCATCCACAGTCACATCACGAGAAATTTAACTGGATTAAGTATCCCTAATGGATTCCGCTGTCCAATTTGTAGATTATTCGTGCCCGCTCCACTAGGAAGACAAACTTCCCCCCAAACCTGGGCCAGTTATTTACAGGGGAATCATGTAATTGTAAGCCTCATTGAGGCGTTCAAAAACCCGCTTAGTCAAAATAGGCCAAATTGCTGCTTTGAACACCCTGGCAAAGAGCTTGAAATTTATTGTTTTGATCACAGTATATTTGTTTGCTGTGTGTGTTCTCTAAAACATAGGCAATGTAATGATGTTCAATCCAAAGAGGACGCAATGGAACGTCTGCAGTCTCTGGGTGCTTTGTCATCCAGCATTGACACTACCGAAGAAATACTGAAAAGAATGTACGAACAGTGTAATGAAATAGAGAAACACATTGCTAATAGAAAGTCTAAACTCGTCAGTCTGGACGAAAAGGAGACAGAGGCTCAGCAGACGATATCTCAACTCAAGCGAGAAATGATTGAACGAATCGAAGAGGGAGAAGTGTTAACAATG